ATTATTTATCTGCATAAGATTTTTTATTTTTATTTTTTTTTGCTAGGACCGTCCCTGGTCCTTGCACGGCCGGGCCGCCCGGGAAAACAGGGCGACCCGGGCGGCCCGGCTGGTAGCCTAGTAATAAAAATTATAATAATAATAATAATAAAACCAAACACCGTGTATACAGTCATTGCGCGGTCTCTGAGCCAGCTGCCTGGATTAAATATTGAATAAATTTTTATTTTTTTTTGTAGGGCACTTGTCCAATGAAATGAGAGGGTATATAGATTTTATCACCCTCTGATAGTTTGATCTCTACCTTGTGCAACCGTGGTAGTTCTAGTTTTTTTTTTGTTTTTTTTTTTTAAGTGCGGAGTTTTTCATCCGCTAATTACAAATTTCTAGACATTTATCTCTCTCTGAGATGTACGTTAGCTCTACTTTTCTCCTTAGTCTTCCCGTAGGGAAGCCATGCTGTGGTCTGAGTATCCTTTTTTTTTTTAATTACACTCGAAAAAGCCATGCTCAGGGATCAGGGAGTTCAAACACTCCTTGATTCCAACACACGACCTCTCAAAAGAACATGGACTAATTTTGAGTGTATTTTCCAAAAAGATAAGACTCAGAATTTCTGCCTTAATCACAGAGTTGGAGATACCCCTGAGTATCCCAGAATGAGTCCCACACATCATTAGCCACGGCTCCGTAATCACAGAATGGGATCACGGAGCCGTGGCTAATGATGTGTGGGACGCTGGGCCCGTTTCCCAGAATATAATGGTATCTTCTTTTTTATCCCCCCCCAAAAAAAGAAAAAACACTCCTATCGTCAGCCAGCAGTATGGCTACCCTGTGGAGTTTCATGCGAGTATTTTCAAAAAAAAAAAACAGACTCAGAATTTCGGCCTTAATCACAGCTTCTGCTACCTCCTGCGGCCTCAGTTTCTTACAAGCAAACAAGAATCAGAATCTCGCCGCACGGCACACGAAATGAAAACGAAACGAGTGCATCTGCCCACGAAAGGTGGCAAAATACACTCATTACTATTTATACCAAACCGATGAACCTGGCGATTTTCTGCGGGAAGTCTCACTCGTTTCGTGTCCCGTGCGGCGACGCCCACAGTCTAGTCTCTCAATACCTATAGGTCAACTTGGACAATTTATATATATATAACTCCGACGAAACAGTTTGTCACAGCCCCTCGTTTGTTGTCCTCTTCTCCCTCTCTGCCTACGGTTTACCGTAGGCAG